TACATATGGTTTAGAAGGATCCAGTGATACCTTCTTAGTTATGTTTGTCTTGTGGCTGTAATGCTATGCTCTTTTTATACCAGTAATTTCTTCATAATGCATTAGGAGAAACAGAAATTAATAATACAAGAACCATAGTTCTTGTCTTGTGTGCTCTTCTTCCCAATGCTTCTCTGTCCATGCATGGAATGAATGGTAGAAATGAAAAGTAGCGGTTATACTAAGATCATTCTAAGGCATCCACTGATTGTGACTGGTAGTTGGGCTTAGAGAACTAACTCATGGTGAATAGAATTGGGAGGTTTGTGGCTGCATGGTTGAGATCCTTGGGTGAAAAGGCAATAGGATTAAACTCCATCATGTAATATAAAAATCCCTCATTTAAGCTAATATCCATGATGGTGCTGTGGCTTTAAGGGCTGGGCTGGTAGATCGGTGAATCAAACCCACCGGACAGTCCCGTAAAAGCTAACAGTCTTGGAAGCCCTAATGAGGCTGCCATGTGTTGGAATGGCCCCACTGGTAATGCACTTGGTGTTAGGAGCAGAAACAAGAACACCCTCATTGCCCTTAGGTTTGGTGGCTGCCATAGTGTCAAGTGAGCAACCATGTTTAAAAATTGAAGTCGTCTTTACTTATAGAGCTACAAAATATTTATGGAAGAAAGGATAGAAGATAAGTTTGTGTTTGAAACAAATTAGCAACAGATATAAGTTTGTTCCTTTGTTTGTTTTACCCAAGTCTGATTTAAGTGTAGCATGCCATTTCTTACGTAGTAAATGAATAGCCATACAAGAGCCTACATGTGGTGGTCTGCAACTCTTCCAAACTCCCAGAAATATTGTTATGTATATGAATTTATATCCCCAGGTGTGTATGAAATCAAGCCATAAGACATGGCTGCATATACATTTTAAATGTCTTTAGTTTTAAATAATCATATCTGGGCTAAAACCCTTATAGTGTGCTAACCCTTAGCCATCTTGTTTCACATCTAATGATGTTGTTTTGTCGATCAATTCTTGATGCTATAAACCATCAACCAAGGACACTGTAGCTCCAGCAGAGACGCTTTGCTCATTCGTTCACACATCTTTCATTTCCTGAAAAATTTCCGCTCTCCCTCTTTCTTGAACTAGCATAAGATGAAGAATTAATATAACTCTATCTTAATCTTTCTGCCTTTTCATTAAAAAGGGAAGAGGAAAAGGTATGTGTGTGGGGTGGGGGGAGCCAATGTGTATCCCTTTATATGTAAATCTTCTTCAGCCTCTGGCTATCATGTAGCTTTGCAGAAGTTGGGCAAACTTGAAAACCTGTGACACAGAAAGCTCCATTTTCATCTGTAAAGAACCTTTGCAATTAGGTGGCCAGCCTCTCTTTAAAACTGCAATTATTCATTATGCTGTCAATCTATAATTATCAGTCTACTATTTGTAATTTCTCTGTGCTAAAGTATCCCATTTGCTACTGAGTGATACTTGAAAGAAAATCATTGATCTATACCACACAGAGGAGTTTGAAACATTTCCATCAGAGGATATTGTACCCTTAGAATAAAAGAGGCTCTGATTGTTTTGGGTGTTGTTGGATTTTTTTTTCCTCTCACAAACAACTGCTTTATACTTATAAGTTCAATTCAGTCCTACCCTTTGTTGAACTTGAAATAAGAAAGCCTGCTTTCTTTTGTTAAACTCCTGCTTTCTTCACATAGTACAGAATGCTTTCACTAATTAAAATAATTTATTTTTGCCACTACTCAAGCAATTGATCTTAAAGTGTCTTACAATCATTATTAAGCATGTTAATTCAAATATTGACCCTTACTATTATTAACTGTTATGGTAGAGGCTTGGCCATGGACCTTAATTCTGATTGAAAAAAAATTCCACCCCACACACATTTAACCTTTTAATAATACACCCTAGATCTTCACCACTAACCTAGGGGTTATTTATTTTCATTAATAGTTTTTTTGTGTGTGCCTCCAGAGAAACCTGTTGAAGGACTTTTGGAAACTTTGTATTAGTCATCATTCTTCTGTTGTATTTATATTAATTTTAATCATCGACTCATTGAGAGATAACATTTCTACCACTTGATTATATTAATTTAAGAATTGTAAATAGAACTCACTGACTGTCAAGCCGATGCCAGCTTTCTGGCTTCCTTGAAGAACAGAGTGAACCAGACCCACCAGCTTCCCAAAGCCGTGATCTTGGGAACGAAGCCCACCTCCAGCCTTCCTGTGAACAGCCATTGTGCTACCAACGCCTCTGTATAAATTATATTTGCAGCCATTTCTTTAACTTCCGCTCAGTTTTTCAGAAATCCTGAAATGTCTCTGAAAGGTGTTCTCCCCCCCACCCCATTAACCTTGAAACCTTAAGTATATTACCTACTTATAATTAAAAAGTACTCCATTGATGATTTATTATATTTTAATGTAATTTATGTTCTTGACCTTTATCTTATCCAGAATTTATTTGGGATTTAAATAGTTATTATAGTTAATTGTCTTCTTTTAAGGCTATTTACATTTATTTTATATGATTGTGAGGGTTGTACTGAATTTGACAGCCTTATCACTTTTATTAAAATTAAAAACCTGGAGGAATAGCGTAGCAAGGTACAAGGAGCGTAGATTTTGGAGGAAGATACATTTGGGATTGACTTACCATTTTCTTCCCCTTGTAACCCTGAAGAAAACCACTTGAACTCTACATGGCTGAGTTGTTATGAGAATTCAGAGATCACTTAGGGACATTCCTTCAACATGGCAGGATGTCAGTGCCCCTCCTCCTTCCTGTGGTTTTAACCAACTGAAGAGTAAGTAGAGAAGCAATGAGAGCTGTCCCAGCCGGTAGCCTTATTCCAGGCTGTGGTTTCCAAATAGGTTTCCAAACTGGAGACAAGAAGTACCTGCCGGCCCTGGGGTTCTGGCATGAAGGCAAAAAGGGAGAAGAAGAAAGAAATGCTAGAGTTGGACTTTTACCCTACACCACCCCTAGTTATGTCAACTGTTCGCTCTAATTTTTGCCCGTGAATTAGGGTCTTGACAAAAATAATACTGAATGTACAGTGGACTGCCAGAGAGCAAGCAGATCTGTGTTGGTAGTACAGCCCCAGTGTTCCTTCGAAGCACGGATCTGTGAATGTCTCACACCCTTTGAACATGACCTTAAAAATGACCCATATAATGGAGGACATCATGCTTGGTAAAGTAGGCCATTGTGTTAGCAAAAATGAGGAAGATCCGCAAGAATAGGTATTGACACAGTGGCTGCAACAATGAGCTCAAATGCAGTAGCAATTACCAAGATGGCAGGGCCTTCTGTATTTTCTTCTATTGTGCCTCTATCGGACCTCTGAGCCCAAACTGTCTCTAAGGTGCTAAACAACAATCTTTACATCGGTTTCATAAATTGTAGCTCACTGCAATTACTGTGGCAAAGAAAGCGGTTTCACTATTTATAAGAAATTATAAATAGCATCCAATTATAAATGTGGTCAGCATTATTGAATGTTAATAAACAAATTGAAAATGTTGTATAGGTTGCATCAGTAATAATAACTATATAGATGAATGAATGAATGAAGGGCAGCATTGTTTTTCTTCTGGAATGGCTTTCAAAAGAGAGCATCTTCCGCCTCTAAGAGGCAAGTTATGTGGCCAGTGGCCTCAATTTATGTCGGTCCCCTGTGCTGGAGTAGAACGCAACCATTTGATTCTGAACACAGCCATCTTTTGGGAGTAGATCAACAGAGGGGTCTCCCACAGACTGGTTACTGGGTCCAAACAATGGACCTTTCCATGAAGAATCCAGTGCTCACTTATTGTACCACCAGGTCTTTAAGAGCTATCTGACCCAAATCCAAACCCAGTGCCATCAAATTCTGAATCACAGCCACCTTATAAGGAGGAGGGTCCAACTACTCCTCCCCTTCCTTTGTTTCCCCTTCTCTGGTTTGTGTGTAAATGATAGATAGGAAAAGGAGAGAAAATTCTTTCCACCATAGTAATTCTGCAGAAGTCAACCGCCTCATCTTTCTCCTGCTGGTTGGCTGTTGGGTTGCAACGGCCAAACCCTTGTTGAGCAATCAAGTGATTTTGACTCCGGCATAACAAGAGTGCTTTCAAAGGTACATAAGAGCGTCAATCCCTGCTCTAGTGGAGGCCCAGTGGGAAAATGCCATAGGCCTAGTGCCTAAAGTGGAGTGGGGTCTAAAATTAGATGTTGTTGAGTGTTTTCTCCCTTACCTGGACTGTTTAAGATGAATGAATTCGGCACACAATGAAAACAGGCTAACTAGGGTGGCAAGTGGGTGGGCAATGTTCTTTTGAGGACCAGTGGCAGGCATCCTGCAGTTGTTAGCACCTACAGCACTCCTGGAAATGAACAGCAGCTCTCTCAGTGAAGGTGAAGCAAAGGAGACGTGACCTGTCAGCTCCTCCAGGAATGAAATGAGTGAAGGAGAAGGCAAAGGGGAAAGGGCACTCAGGTACCAACCACTGAGTCAGTGCTGACCCATAGTCACCCTATCGTACAGTGACTGTCCTATCAGTTTCCAAAACAGTAACTCTTTATGGGAGTAGGAAACCCTCTTTCAAATGAGGCATGGATACTGGTTTTGAACTGCTAACCTTGCAGTGAAAAGCCCACTGTGTAACCTCCTATACCTCCCTAGCTTCCACTTTTGGATAAAATGAATTTTCTGTGTACCAGTACATTAAGGGTTATATTTTGTGATTCATATAGCACCACCTTTCATGCCTTATCTGGATGTAACTGTTCAGCACTTTCCCTAAGGCTAGCTTTGCAGCGAGAGGGGCAGTGTCTTTTCAGGATGTCATGTAACCATTGGGGCAAAAAGGCAAAAGAACCCCATGCCTTTCTGATCTGTGGGTGAGTGTGAAATAGATAACTCATTGGAATGCAACTCCTTCACACTGCGTTTAACATGACTTGTTTTTCTTTTTTTCAAGAATTTATTTTTTTGTGTTGTATGAAAGGAGAGGAGGTTAGCACGCCCCTTGACAAGGACGGAAGAGGCCCTTGGGACTCACAACACACATATGGTTAAGGCATTGCCACCTACTTTTTGGCATCTAACCATGGTTTTTAAAGGCTAAAAGGCAAAAAAAAATGTTTTTTAATTTTTTATTGGGATTAATACATATATCAAATCATTCCATAGTTCAATCATGTCCAGCAGAATTGTACATTTGCTATAAAAACATGTTTCCAAATATCCTTTTTGTACATATACAAAAGCATTGAAGCATGTTTCATTACCCCTTAACCCTACCACCACCTCTGTGGCCCCTAACCCTACCATCATGTTAAAAGCGAATAGTGCAGTTCCTTTGTTTTTCCTTTCATTGTGCATGTGTGTGTGCATGTGAATGAGTACAGAGAAGAGAGAAAGTGCTCTTCCATTGGCAGGTGTGTATATGGACATCAGACCTTATTCTAAACTCGAGAATCTGTTATTCGTAATCATTTCTTTTGTTCAACATAGTAGCTAGGCTATAATTTCCATTCCTCCTTAGTATGTGGATAATTTTAACATAAATGTGTTGAAAGTACCCTAGTCTGCCAGGAGAACAAGCAAGTCTGTCTTGGAGACAGGAATGCCAGCATGCTCCTCAGGACTAGAGGGGGTAAGACTCCAACTCATAGGCTTCCGCTATCAGAGAGACCGATCCATGGAGAGGGACATCGTGTTTCGTAAGGTCGGTAAAGGACCTCCGAAGAGAGGCAGACCCATGAGCAGACAGATGGACACAGTGGCTCAGACACACTCCTGGTGAGACTGGCACACGATCTGGCGTTGTTTTGTTCATAGGTGCATTGTGCGTAGGGCCTCCCTTGAAGGGCATGCTGATAATTGAACTGCTACTGCCCGGTTACGTAACTCCAGCAAGCAAGGGGTCCTTTCTCTCAGATGTCACCAGACTTCTAGTTTGCCATTTAGTAAAGTCACCCATTTGTATTTTCCCCAAGCTTATACATGTTTATATTAAACATTGTACATTGGATTATTTAATCTGCATATTATCCTAAACCTGTTGAATTGGTATTATCCTAGATAAAATGGAGATTCTCTGAAAATAGAAGCGTTTTTTTCTCTAGAGAGTTGGACATATTCTTAAAACAGAAGCAAAACAAAACTTTACTTTTGAAAAGCTCAGTGTATTTAAGCTTTTTTGGCAACTAGGAAAATATCTGTAGAAGTCTAGATCCGTTATACACTGGTACAGGTAGGAACTGGAAACACAGGGAATCCAGGGCAGATGATCCCTTCAGGACCAGTGGTGTGAGTGGCGATACTGGGGGGTTAGACGGAGGATGGGTTGGAAAGAGGGAACCGATTACAAGGATCTACATGTGACCTCCCTGGGGGACGGACAACAGAAAAGTGAGTGAAGGGAGATGTCTGACAGTGCAAGATATGACAAAATAATAATTTATAAATGATCAAGGGTTCATGAGGGAGGGGGGAGCAGGGAGGAGGGGAAAAATGAGAAGGTGATGCCAAGGGCTTAGGTGGAGAGCAAATGTTTTGGGAATGATGATGGCAATGAATGTACAAATGTGCTTGACACAATCAATGTGTGTATGGATTGTAAAAACCTTCTCAATGAGTCACCCAAGTTCATACAAAAAACAGGTAGATGGTCACTCTTGGTCTATGTACAGCAAGACAGCATGCTTCAGTGCTTTTGTTCAGGTCTGTTTAGCAGAACTGTGTAGCAGTGTGTTCTCTGACTACACATGGTAGAACTCTCTATGAAGGTCCCCCCGCCCCATTTTTTTAAAACACTTTGTGGTTTTTATTTTATTGGTCACTATTCTGGTATGTCAGCCTTCTAAGATTGTAAAATGTTTGAAATGTCTTGAAGCTCCTACCAGAGAAGGAGAGTAAAAAGTAACTAAGTTTTGGGAGTTGCATATTGAAGACATGCATTACCCTACCACTGTTATTATATGCAGAACTGAATTACCTTAGCATGTGTGTAAGATTCTGCACAAGTATAAGAAGATAATAACCTATTACCAGAGAGTTGGATGAAAAAGTGTTATAGGGGATTCTTTACTCTTTTGGATTTCCTCTCATTCTTCTACAATGTGTGAATTCTAGGAGAAACCGAGGAAATGGAGGTACCCAATTTTTGAGTCAGAACTGACCGTGGCAGTGAGTTTGGTGTGAGTTCATGTTTATCTCTATTGCGGCATTCACAGGACACAAACCATGGAGCCAGATTGCTTGGATTTGTGTGGGGAGGCTTTCCACTTCTTACTTTTAAGGCCGTGGGCACATCACTTACCTTGTCTCTGCTTCAGTGTTCGCACCCCTGGAGTCCAATAGTTAGAGACCTACCTGAACGCTCGTGTGACCTACTGTTAATAATGGCTTGTCTAAGGGTTAGGGTGGAGTGAGAATTTTGAAAGATACCTCCACTTAGTTTATATAATTTTTAAAGGAAATGGTAATGTTGATGGTGTTAATTTTGGAATCATCGTTTCTGTTGTACAGTCCTCGCAGTGTGTGAGTCGGCCATAATTAGTGTAATATGTATTGTTAGCTATTGAGCTTTTGAGAGCCATAGTACTCCTGTAAGGGAAGGCATTCCAAATAGAAGAAATACCGTGGATGAAAGTTTGGAGATGGGAATGGGGGTAAATGTATCGTGATTCTAGGTTAAGAAGGGAGCTCGAATACTGCAATACAATCATGTCTATGAGTGACGTATACTATCCATGCTTGGTGCTAGGGCTGTTGTTACCACCACCATCATTGCTGCTTGCCTGGTGACCCAGAGTTTATAGAGAAACATTGACCGAGTCCACCATCCTTCTCATATTTTTAACTTAAATATCATTCTGAGAGCTTCGAGGTCCTCAATGCAGCTGAGAAAGGTGGAAAAGATGTAAACAGTACATAAAGGCAGAATGTTCTGAAAATTGATTCTGCATTCATAGAAGCCTTCATTTTCCTCCACCGCAGTGCTTGGCCATGATCTCCTAATGGTGCATTCAAACCCCAGGTACTTGTGCCTTAGGGGGTGTGTGGCAATTGCCAACAGCAACAGAAAAAGCACAATTAGGCATTGGGAATCTGTCTATAGAAACAAGGTACTTGAATATTTAGTAGAACATTGAACATGTGAAAATTTTAAAAATCACAAAATTTCAAAAGTTATACTGATTCTTGGCTTGTATGTGGTTTAATGATTGTAGCGTTCTCATCACATTTGCTGAATTCCTCTGGATCTTTTGCTTCCCTTTTACGGTTCAAAGAATAGCCTCCAAAGAATAAAATAGACAGTTGACCTTAAATTTGAATTTGTTTTCATGTCATATTCAATATTTTTGGCTAATTTGTAGCTGTGGCTTCATTTTCTTAGTGGTTTTAGGTATTAAAAGAAAATAAGTATATGCTTTCTTAACAGTTTTATCAAAAATTTGAAAGTTCAAACTTTATAGAATTTGCATGCATTTCTGTAGTAGGTTTGATTTGACAAGATATGTCTTTCCAAGCAGTTAAGGGTTGACCTTGCAGCATGCTCACCTTTTGTTTCCATTTTGATATGAACTAGTAGAAAGTCTGCCCAATTATTGAGTGGTAAAGGAAAAATATCTTGAAAGCTTCCACAGGGGGTTGGGTCTGGGTGGGGGAGGGAAGCGGGAACTAAATAAGAAATTATATGAAAAATCAAAAGCGATCAGTGAGTAATGCTTGAATTATTCTTTTATCAGAAAATTGTTCATTGTTATAGATCCCTTAAATATTTTTTTAAGCTCTTTTTGGCTTCCATCTCCCACAGCAGTTTTAACAGCATTCTTCCACATTCACCTGGCTAATCTGAATGCTAACTATAACAAATAGATGTTTGGAGGCATTAAAATGATGACTTTCAAAGGGGCTATTATCATTTATCATGGAAATGAATTCAGCCCACCAATGATGATAATTTAGCCTACGGGTAAAATGAGCATCATACGTTTAGAAAATGAATTTTTCAATTGTTTAACATTCTCAATTTGTTTTATGTTCTCAAAGTAATGTTTTCTAAAAATGTAATATTATGCTTAATATGATGCTCACTGGAGAGACCTTACCTCATCAATCCCAAAATTCTGTACTTATCTATCATCCAAAGATGATTGTTTAATGCTTTGTTCCTGAAAGTATTCGCTGGACAACATTTTATGACTTTCATGGAAATACTGTATTGCAACCTCAATCGTAACCATATATAATCCCTGCACTACGTATACCCAAATAGACGCATGGCCTCGCAAAGAAACGTTTGATCCCTTTTAAGCACAGTGTGTTACTGCTTGTTTCCTCATCTGAAAAGAGTACTGACTGTATCTGACTGTCCAGGGGAATGTGAGATAGATAATTCATGCACAGCCCTTCACATGGCATTTACCTACCATACTGTGCGTTGCAGTGCCAGGGTGTGGCTGAATGCTCAGCGTGACGCTGCACTGCATTTTGAACTTCTCTCATGCACCACAGGGTCCACACGTGCAGAGGGGGTTTCCGTTTCAATCATCAATCATGCTCTATTCCTTTCAATCATGTCGTATGTTTGGGAATCTGGATTTTGTCAGTGGCTATGATGAAAAGCAAGTACCATGGGAAAACAATCACAGAACAGGAGATGAGGAGAGTGGTGTCTGTTTTAAGTTGTGCAGTGCCCAACCAGTGCCCACATCCCATTAGTTAGCCATTGTGGTCAAGACATAAATGAAGATACTGCGTTTGGTTCAGCTTATCTGACTATGGTGCAAAGGTTCAGTGTTCAGCTGCTAATTAGAAAGTCAGTAGTTCAAACCCACCAGACAGAAGAAAGATGGCCGTCTGCATCCATAGAGATTTCGAGCCTGGAACAACCTGTTGGGCAGTTCTGTTTGTCCTGTGTGGTGGCTGTACGTTGCCATGGACTCAGCAGCAAAGCGGTTTAGATGATCAAAGAGATGTTATATTACTGAGACACAAGTAACTATATTGCTTGATAACAAACTGTTAGGTATTCCTTTTGGCCTAAAGACACTGACAATTAACTGAGACATGAAATGCTCCTTGAATCAAGAAGTCTGGGAACCTT